CATATATATGGTGATGGACAAACAAAAATGTACAACCCAAAATTTCACAATGTTAGAAACCATTAAAACATCAATAAAAAAAAAATTCATCTGCCCAATCCCTAACTCCCAGTGTGACGGTATGTGTAGGTCATGTCTGTGAGAGGCAATTCAGTTTAGATGGGGTCACGAGGGTGGGATTCTCGTGATGTAATTCATGCCCTTCTAAGAAGGGGCCAGAAATCTAGCTCCCTGTCTCTCCACTGTGAGGACACAGCAAGAAGGTGGCCATGCAGACGATCCCTCACCAGTAACTGAATCACCAGCACCTTCATCTTTTGACCACCCAGCCTCCAGAACTGTGAGAAATGCATATTGTTTGAGCCTCCTGTCTACGGTATTCTGTTACGGTGGCCGGAATGGACTAAGACAGAGGTGGTCATGTTTTCAGAGAGGGCTGTAGTACATTCCTCCGGCCCTGTGTTCTGATTTCACAGATAGGCGCTGGGTCACTGGAAGTTATCACAATCACAGCAGGAGCCAGCAAACCAGCCCACACTTCCTTGTCTCTGGACTCCTTCATGCCCCTTCCCCGCCCCCAGCAAATGCCCTTCCCCATTTCTTCTGTATAATTTGCAGCACCGGGAGCTCTGCGTAGGCTTCCCTCCCCCTCTCAAGGACATACTGCTTTTGGCTTTGCGACGGTGGATGATGAAGAGGAGGAGGAGGACGAGAAGGAGGAGAGCAATGGCCACTGGGACTCCAATCAGAACGTTCTGGTGTTTCTCCGGGGAGTTTTTGTTGGAAGGTGGGGCTACAAAAGAGGGAATAGCGTTGGAGCAGCTGTCTTTTATGAGGTACCTTCACACAGGGCACAGTCTCTGGGCGCTCTCTCAGACCCCACCACAATCTCAAAGCACAGACCTGTTGACCCCGTTTCTTAGAAAAGGAGAAAGAGCTTTGATCACCTCATAGCCATAGATGATGAAGGACTCAGAAGTAGAAATTTGTATTAATATAGAGATCAGCACATGATGGCCTGTGGACCAAACCTGGCACATCGCTGTTATCGTGTGGCCCTCGAGCTCAGAATGGATTTTACATTTTTAAACTGTCGACACAAGTTGAAAGAGGAACAATATTTTGCAACTCATATGAGCTATCTGATATCCAAATTTCAGTGCCAATTCGTAACGTTTTGTGGGAACATGACCTTGCTCGCTGGCTTCTGTATATGTTCCGTGGTGGCTTTGGTGCTACAAAGTCAGAGCTGAGTAGTTGCGAAAGAGAACAGACACCCACAAAGCTGAAAACCTCTACTATCTGGCCTATTATGGGAAATATTTGCCCACCAGTGAAGTAGAGGAAGAACAGCACAGGAAAAAGCTAGCAGAGATAAACGCACAGTGTGGTGATAGCAGAGCCGAGGGGAGAGCTCATTTCAAGAACCAAGAATTCAGCAGTTATATTGAAATTTGTGGAAAAAGTATGCATTTGCACTGTAAAAACAGACACAGACAACACATAAAGAATTGCGTTGGCTAGATTCCCATAAAGCATGGCTAGATTCCAATAAATTTTTTTTTTAACCAAATAGGCAGTGAGCTGGATTTAACCCTCAGATCATAGCCTCCCAATCTCTAGTCTATCAATCTCTTACGTATTTTGTCCCCAATAGATTTTGTTTGCGTGTGTATTTGTGTTTTCCTTTAGGACTCCCTCCTCCTTCTATCCACAGTGCGTGGATTATCTAGTCTACTTGCTTTGTGATCTTTAGGCTCAACAATTCCACACCTGTTTCTCCAGTCCTGCACGCTCTGGCTCAAGAATTATAAAGCTAACTTCCAGGGGTACATTTCCCCTAGGATGATGCCCAGCCAACTCAAAAGAAACAAATCCAAGCGGAAACCTCTCACCTTCCGCCCCACCCTTGGAAACTCCTCATGTGTCTATTTCTCCATGAATGGTCCCCCAGTGCAGCCACATCACAGGCATAGATAGAGACGTGACTTGGGACTGGAATCAAGTTCATGGTAAATTCTTCTCAGCACATAGGCAAGGAGTGACAACGGCCACACCACAGAAGGTCTTGTCTCAACAGTCCTTAATCCTGTACAGAATTTGCTTCTATATATGTGGGGAAAATGATGCTCAGAGGAGGGAAAAGACTTACCCAGGGGGACACAGTGAATTAATTGTAGAAACAGCTCTCATAATTTTTGAGTCTGCAAGCCCAGTGTAGGGAGGAAGCCTCCAGAGAACCAGGTTGAGTCCAGAACCCCCTCGAACAGTTATCCTGAGCTGATACTATGAGTATTTGTCCTTCTGGGAGTAGGGCGCAGTGGGTGAGCAGCTATGAATCCTAGACGCTCTCAGAAATATTGGGAATGTGCATCAACGACGAATGGTATCTATGGGCATTATTGATTTGATTTGCAATTCATAGACCCTCTAACCTTCTGCTGATCCTTGTGGAGAGCAACCTCCTTTATCTGTTTGCTCCCTGCCTCCAGCCAACAGAAGCCCTCTGAAAAAGCTGGCTCTATCTCTGGTAAATAATCCTTTTACTCCAAATGTGAGAGAAGAGAAAATGGAAAGTCTTTGTTTCAGTTTTGCACCTAAACTCGGTTACTCACCAGTTGAAGGTCTGGGCTTTGTGGAATATGGATCTCCAGGAGCTCCTGCAAATGGGACTGAAATCAGAGTGGTTTTATTCCTCTCATCTACCTGAATGTTTTTCAGTTTTCCATCTAAACTCAGTTACTCACCAGTTGAATGTCTGGATGTCGTGGGATCAGGACCTTCAGGAGCTTCTGCAAATGGGGCTGAAATCAGAGGGGTTTTCTTTCTCTCTTTTACTTGAATGTTTTTTAGTTTTCCATCTAAACTGAGTTACTCACCAAGAAAATATGTGGAGTTCATGGGATCAGGATCTTCAGGAGCTTCTGCAAATGGGGCTGAAATGGGAGTGGTTTTCTTTCTCTCTGCTCAGGCTCCCTTCTACCCAGATTCCCCACGACTACACTGCACTTCCCCGGCCCCTGGGCATGTGGTAGGAGGGCTGCATTGTGGGTGAGGGCAGTGAGCTCCTCAGAGCTTCCTGTCTAAGCAGACGGTGGTGACACCGCCTTCCCACCCCACTGTCCTCCTTTTCCCAATCACTGCTCCACCTGGACAGTGTTGGTCTCAGGAGCAGACATGAGGATGGGTGCGCTGGGGCTTCCTCACCTCTGACCTGAAGCTGCAATGGGTCACTGGCGTCAGACCACACATAGCGGGAATCGTTGAAGACACCAAAGCATCTGTAGGTCCCGGCCTGTGTGGAGGAGACTTGATTCAACAGGAAGACAGCCTGATGTCCACCACCCTTGGGGGTGGAGCTTTGGTTCTGGATGGCATGAACTTCATCTTCTTCGATAAGAATAAATACATCAAACTTGAGTCTTGAGAAACACTGCAACTTCACATTCTCCCCTGAAGCCACCACAGTGCCAGTCATGCTTGAGAGGGAGGGTTTTTCATAAGCTCCTGAGAAAGAAGGAAGTTTGGTGACAAAGAGCAGGGCCACACACATGCATTGTCCCTTTTTGTTCCCCAGGAGCAGAAAGGGCTCTGGTTTCTATCCCCTTGTCCCGCCCTGAGGAATCTGTCTCTGCATCACCCTCGATTCCTTCCTAAGGATAGGAGTTTTTGTCCTCTGTGCTTTTGTATCTGCAAAGTCTGGTTCTTCCCTCTGTAAAGGGGTCAGTCCTGGCTTTGCTGCCTCTGTGTACACTCACCGGTCATCACCAGCTGCAGGGGGTCACTGAACTGGGACCAGCTGTCTCCACTCTGATAGGAGCAGTGGTACAGCCCTGCCCAGTGTGGTGTCATCTGTGCAATTTCCAAAGTATTGGTAGTCTTAGACAGCAGTTGTTTCTCTGTGTGTGAGCGCTCAGGGCTTCCCACTTTAGATATCGCATATGCTGTAGCTTCTGCAGGCCCTTGGCACTGGATAGTCACTTGTTCCTTGGACAGAACCATGGATTCAGGCACAGCTGTGATATCAGGTCGGGGGAGATTTCCTAGAAGAAAGGGAACAGGTAACAGACTTAGAGGTGAGTCTGTTCTTCACACCATCCATCCACTTCATCCCCTCTTACAGCCACTGGTCAGAATGCTGAGTCCCCTCTTCTCAGCTCCAAGAGAGCTGATATCTGGCCTAAACCAGGAGAAGGGACTTGGGCATATTAAGAGGAATACTTACTGTTCTGTGCCTGAGTGCACTGGCCTGGATACAACCCTGGAAGGAAACAGCAGGTGAGACAGCTCAGCCTTCTAGAACCGGCAGCCCTGCCCCCTGTAGCCTTGTATTTGTAGCTGGGCCCCTCTCTCCCAGACTCACAAAGACAGAGCAGGGTGGGAAGAACCAGGGACATGGTCCTGCATCCAAGTTGTCCTGCTGGCCCCAGCGATGTGCTCTTATGAGGAACAGATAACTCTGCAAGTAACACAGACCTCCAGGAAGTGTGGCTGGCCCCACTCTCACCAGCAGAGTGAAGACAATCCACATCCTCTTTCCTCCTCCTGGGTGGGGCTTGCAGAAGTGCCTGACATCATGAAGACGTAATTATCTGAACTCCAGACTACAATCAGTCCAGGCTGATCCCTACTTTCTGTCCGTGGTTCCACATGAGCACTTTAAACTTTCTATATAAAGCGAGTGGTAAGAGAGATCACAGGCAATGAGCAGGACGGAAATAATTTCCTGCCTGTGATTTGCTCTGAAATACCAAGTGAGCTCATGGCTCTTCCTCCTAATGCTGATCTTCTGTCTCTTTCTGTACAGCAGGGGACAATGATAATGAATTTCTGAAAAGCTGTACTCACAGTGTGTGCACATTGTCCAGAACAAGCGTTGCTAGAGAGACAACAGCATAATTGTTCGTTCTTCCTCTGCCTCTGTCAATAGTCTCCACATATTGTTGGCACCTATTCTGTCCAAGGGTATAAATGATGAACCTAAAGAAAATACTTTCATGGATGTTGTCACACCTTTGTTCTTAAACTATCACACCGGCTGAACCTTACTGAGTAGCTGTGCCATCCAGTCTTCTGGATCAACATGTAATTTTGATTTAAAATCTTTCCCTCATTCCACCTCCATGAGACGCTCTTCTCCACAAATCTGAAATAATTTAATCCTAACCCTTACTTCGTTTACGTTTTATGAACATTACGTGGCAGAAGATTACGTATGTGTAACCTTCACAAAAATGGTGGTAGTTGAGTCATTGCTGTCGTTATCATTATATATGTTTTCCAATTATTTTATTAAGGTCATCATGGTCTATAATATCATGTAATTTCAGGTGTACATTGTTGTTTATCTGTATAGACTGCATCATGCTCACCACCCATAGTGTAGTTTTTATCCGTCACCATACATATGTCCCCTTTACCCCTTTGCCCTCCCCACCACCCACTTCCCCTCTGGTAACCAGTAATCTGCTTTCTTTATCCAAGTGTTTGCTTATCTTCCACATATGAGTGAAATCATGCAGTGTTTGTCTTTGTCTGTCTGGCTTATTTCATTTGACATCATACCCTCAAGATCCATCTATGCGGCTGCAAATGGGATGCTTTGTCTTTTTTTTATGGCTGAGTAGTATTCCATTGTTTATTTATTCCACGTCTTCTTTATCCATTCATCAGTTGATGGGCACTGGGTTACTTCCACGTCTTGGTTATAGCTAATAATGCTGCAATGAACATAGGGCTGCATGTCTCTTTGAATTGTTGATCTCAAGTTCTTTGGATAAATACCCAGTAAGAGCTCTATCCAGTTGATAGAAGTATTGTATAGTATTTCTATTTTTAATTTTTTGAGAAATCTCCATACTGTTTTCCATAGTGGCTACACCAGTTTGCATTCCTACCAGCGGTGTATGAGGGTTCCCTACTCTCCACCTCCTCTCAAACATTTGTTAATTTTTTGCCTTGATAATTATAGCCATTCTAACAGGTATACAGTGATATCTCATTGTAGTTTTGATTTGTATACCCCTAATAATTAGTGACATTGAACATCTTTTCAAGTGCCTGTTGGTCATCTATGTATCTTCTTTGGAAAAATGTCTGTTCATATGCTCTGCTCATTTTATGATCGGGTTGTTTGTTTTTTGTTGTTGAGTTGTATGAGTTTTTTTTATATATTTTGGAAATTAAGCCCTTGTTTGATATATGACTTGCAAGTATTTTCTCCCTGTTGGTTGGCTGTCTTTTCGTTCTGTTCATGGTTCCTTTGACTTGTAGAAGCTTGTGAGTCTGATGTAGTCCCATTTGTTTATTTTTTCTTTTGGTACCCTTGCCTGAGTCGACATGGTATTCGAAAAGATACTGCAAAGACCAATGTGAAAGAGTGTATTGCCTATATTTTCTTCTAGGTGTTTTACGGTTTCAGGTCTTACATTCAAGTCTTGAATCCATTTTGAGTTAACTTTTGTGCATGGTATAAGATAATGGTCTACTTCCATTCTTTTGCATGTAGCTGTCCAGTTTTCCCAACATCAATTATTGTAGAGACATTCCTTTTCCCGTTGTATGTTCTTGGCTCCTTTGTCAAAGATTATGTGTCCATAGATGTGTGGATTTATTTCTGGGCTCTCAATTCTGTTCTATTGATCTGTGTGTCTGTTTATCTGCCAGTACCATGGTGTTTTGCTTACTATAGCTTTGTATTTTATTTTGAATTAAGGAGGGTGGTACCTCCAGTTTTGTTCTTTTTTCTCAGGATTGCTTTGGCAATTGGAGGTCTTTTGTTGTTCCATATAAATTTTAGGATTCTTTGTTCTATTTCTGGGAAAGATGTCATTGGTATTCTGAATGGGATTGCATTGACATTGAATCTGCAGTTTGCTTCATGTAATATGGACTTTTTACATGAGCTTGTTCTTCCAATCCATGAGCACAGAATATGTTTTCATTTCTTTATGTCATCATTGATTTCTTTCAATCATGTCTTATAGTTTTCAGTGTTTAGATCTTTCACCTCCTTGGTTAAATTTATTCCTAGTTATTATATCCTTTTTTGTTGGGATTATAAAGCGGATTGTATTCTTGATTTGTCTTTCTGTTAGTTCATTGCTAGTGTTAAAAAATGCGAATGATATTTGTATGTTGATTTTGTATCCTGCAACTTCACTGAATTCATTATTTTTTAACATAGTTTTTTGGTGGATTCATTAGGGTTTTCTATGTATAGAATCATGTCATCCACAAATAGTGACAGTTTTACTTCTTCCTTTCCAATTTGGATCCCTTCTATTTCTTTTTCTTGCCTAGTTCCTCTACCTGGACTTCCAATCCTATGTTGAATAACAGTGGTTAGAGCAGGGACCCTTGTCTTGTTCTTGTTTTTAGAGGGATAGCTTTCAGCTTTCCTCCATTGATTAGGGTGTTGGCTGTGGGTTTGTCATATATGGCCTTTATTATATTGAGGTACTTTCCTTCTATGCCCATTTTGTTTAGATTTTTTGTCATAAATTGATGTAGGATCTTGTCAAATGCTTTCACTCCATCTATTGAGATGATTACGTGATTCCTAGTCTTCATTTTGTCAATGTGATGTATCAAACTGATTGATTTGCGGATGTTGAACCATCCCTGCAACCCTGAATAATTCCCGCTTGATAGTGGTGTAGGACCTTTTAATGCTTTGTTGTATTTGATTTGCTAAGATTTTGTTAAAGATTTTTGCATCTATATTCATCAGCGGCATTGGCTTGTAATTTTCCATTTGGGTTGCCTTGTCTGGTTTGGGTGTCAGGGTAATCTTGGCCTTGTAAAATGTTTTGGGAAGCATGCTGCCCTTTTCAAGTTTTCAGAATAGTTTGAGAAGGATAGGTGTTAAATCTTCTTTGAATGGTTGCTAGAATTCACCAGAGAAGCTGTCTGGTCTGGACTTTGTTTTTTGTGAGGTTTTTGATTACTGTTTCAATCTCTTTGCTAGGGATTGGTCTATTCAGATTCTCTGTTTCTCCTTAATTCAGTTTTTGAAGGTTACATGATTCTAAAAATTTATCCATTTCTTATAGGTTATCCAGTTTGTCAGCATATAGCATTTCATAGTATTCTTTTATAATCCTTTATATTCCTGTGTTGTTGGGTGGAATTTCTACTGTTTCATTTTTGATTTTATTTCTTTGAATGTTGTTTCTTTTTTCCTTAGTGAGTCTGGCTAAAGATTTGTCAATTTCGTTTATCTTCTCAAAGAACCAACTTTTTTCATTCATCCTATTTTTTTTTTTTTAGTTTTTATTTCATTTATTTCTTTTCTGATTTTTATTATTTGCTTCCTTCCTCTGACTTTCAGTTTTTTTTTTGTTCTTCTTTTCTGGTCTTTTAGGTATAGGATCAGCTTGTTTATTGGAGATTTTTCTTGTTTCTTGTGGTCGGCCTGTATTGCTGTAACTTTCCCCATTAATAGTGGTTTTGCTGAATTCCATAAGGTTTGTTAAATTGTGTTTTCCTTTTCATTTGTCTGTAGGTATTTTTTGATTTCCCCTTTTATTTCTTCATTGATTGAACAGTTGTTCAGTAGCCTGTTGCTTGGTCTCCACATATTTGTGACTTCTCGTCTTTTTCTTCCATTTGATTTCTAGTTTCATAGTACTGTATCTGGAAAAGATGCTTGATATTTCAATTTTCTTAAATTTATGGAGGCTTGCTTTGTTTCTCAACATATGGTCTGTCTTTGAGAATGTTCCATGTGCACTTGAGAAGAATATGTATTCTGCCGTTTTTGGATGGAATGTTCTATACATATCTATTAAGTCCAATCATCTGGTCTGGTGTTTCACTTAAGGCCACCGTATCCTTGTTGACTTTCTGTCTGGATGATCTATCTAGTGATGTAAGTGGGGTGTTGAGGTCCCCTACTATTATTTTGTTTCTGTTAATTTCTCCCTTAAGGCCTGCTAATATTTGCTTTATATACTTTGGTGCTTCTGTGTTAGGTGCATATATATTCATAAGTGTTATGCTTTCTTGGTGGAATGTTCCTTTTATCATTATATAGTGCCCTTGTTTGTCTTTCGTTATCTTTTTTATCTTGAAGTCTCCTTTGTGCTATATAAGTATTGCAAGACATGCTTTCTTTTGTTTGCCATTTGCTTGGAGTATCATCTTCCCTCCCTTCATTCTGAGCCTGTGATTGTCTTTAGAGCTGAGATGTGTTTCCTGGAGGCAGCATATTGTTGGGTCTTGTTTTTTACTAGTTCAGCCACTCTGTGTCTTTTGAATGTTGAATTCAATCCATTTATGCTTAGAGTGATTATTGATATATGAAGGTTTAATTCTTCCATCTTTTTTTTTGTTTTCCAGTTGTTCTATGTTTGCATTGTTTCTTTTCCCTTGTATTTCTGTCTGCCATTTCAGTTTGGTGGTTTTTTGT